AGTTTTTGGCCAGGGCTGGGTTTGAACCCACCACCTCCAGCATATGGGACTGGTGCCCTACCCTTTTGAGCCACTGGCACCACCCCTATCCTGGGTTTTTTAAAGATATTCTTTATGAAGTTAAGGGAAATTTTCTTCTATTCCTAATAAACAGGTGTTGAATTTCTTTTTTTTTCTTTTCGAGACAGAGTCTCAAGCTGTCACCCTAGGTAGAGTGCCGTGATGTGACAGCTCATAGCACGCTCAAATTCTTGGGCTTAAGAGATTCTCTTGCCTCAGCCTCCAAAGTAGCTGGGACTACAGGCACCCGCCACAACGCCGGGCTAATTTTTGTTGTTGTTGTTGTTGTCATTGTTGTTTAGCAGGCCCGGGCTGGGTTCAAACCTGCCAGCTCCGGTGTATGTGGCTGGCGCCCTAGCCACTGAGCTACAGGCATCGAGCCAACTCTTTATCTCTCAAGCTTAGCTACTGTAACAACTCCCTCATTCTCTGACTGCACTCCATGACCAACACTTCCCAACTAGAGCCAAGCCATGATATTGTTAGTTTCCTTCATAGCACTCATTAACACCTGCAAGGATTTTATTTATACGTCTGTTTCATTTTTTTTTTTCTATCTTCCACACAAGAATGAAAGTTCCATGAGGGCAGGCACCACTGTACATTTTAAAGAATGTTGACACTTAATATACATTGGATAGGCTCGGCGCCTGTGGCTTAAGCAGCTAAGGCGCCAGCCACATACACCTGAGCTGGCGGGTTTGAATCCAGCCCTGGCCCACCAAACAACAATGCCAACTGCAACCAAAAAATAGCCAAGCATTGTGGCAGGCGCCTGTAATCCCAGCTACCAGGGAGGCAAAGGCAGGAGAAATGCTTGAGCCCAGGAGCTGGAGGTTGCTATGAGCTGTGATGCCACAGCACTCTACCCAGGGTGACAGCTTGAGGCTCTGTCTCAAAAAAAAAAAAAAAATATATATATATATATATACACACACACACACACACATACACACATTGGATAGATAAAGAACTCTATTTTGGGTATTTCATGAGAATATGTCAGTATTGATTTTCTGCTGATGAGCTACCCTAGGACACAGTGACATCGAGTCTTCTCTAAGCATAGTCATTGCTTCTTTTGGGGGTGGGGGGCGTTGAGACAAAAGTCTCACTCTGTCACTTTGGGTAGAGTGCTAGCATCACAACTGATAGCAACCTCAAACTCTTGGGCTTGAGCAATGGTCTTGCCTCAGCCTCCCAAGCAGCTGGAACTACAGGCACCTGATGTAATGCCAGCTAAGCAGTTATTGTTGCTGTAATTGTTATTCTCTTCTATTGACTCTGCCTTTCTTTGAGAATTTAAAGGTTGGAATTCTATGGTCTATCTTTCTCATTTACCATATAACTTTCCTGTTATTCTAGTTAACTTCCTGTATAATCAGTGTATTTCTCTAATATTCCCTAATATTTCCATTATGCTCTCAGTATTTTATCCAGTTTGTTTTGCTAACTTATTACTTCTCCCACTAATCTTACTACATTATTATATTACAGGCAAGTTGAACACCTTATATTCATTATTTCATTTAATCTTCACAACAACCCTATAAGGTACGCATATACAATAGATCTTTCATAGCTGACCACCTCCCTACACTGACCACCTCTTTAAGCTGACTTAATTTTCATAGATCAGACAAGTACCACCTACACGTATCAGTACAATAGGCCTAGTTCCTCATAATGACCATCTCTGTATATTGGCCAGTTTGTTACAGTCCTTTGGGTGGTCAACTTACAGAGGTTCTGCTGTATTTTCACTTCCATCTCCCAGATGAAAAGACAGGGTATAATGAAATTCAATAACTTGTCTAAAGAGAAAGACTTTTTATTGAGACAGAGTCTCACTGTGTCACCCTCTGTAGAGTGCTATAGCATCACAGCTCACAGCAACCTCAAACTCTTGGGCATAAGCAATTCTCTTGCCTCAGCATCCCAAGTAGCTGGGACTACAAGTGCCCACCACAATGCCTACCTATTTTTTGTTGTGGTTGTCAGTGTTGTTTAAGGTGACCAGGGCCAGGTTCGAACCTGCCAGCCTCGATTTACGTGGCTGGTGCTGTAACCACTGTGCTATGGACAATGATCCTAAAGACAAAAGACTTTGTGGGTGAGGGTGGGGATCAAGATTCAAATCCTAGCCTATTTGATTCGAGAGACCATAAGTACTAGTTTATACTACTTCCCCTACTTTGTTTCCCTTTCTCAATTTCTTGGAGAAAAAGACTGCTGCCAGTTTCTTCATTCAACAGCTTTTTTTTTTTTTCCAGTTTTGGCCTGGGGGCTGGACTTGAACCTGCCACTGCCAGTATATGGGGCTGGTACCCTACTCCTTGAGCCACAGGCACCGCCCTCAACAGCTTATTTCTAAGAAGAGAAAACAGACGTCAGAGAAGTAAGGTAGTTCTTCCTAACAGTTGTAGAGAGAACAAAGAAGGATTCAAACCACTGCTATAAAAGTACAAAAACAACACTTTCTTTTTTATTACCTCAAAGATTCTTACTAGAGGCTTGAAATTCCAAAGAATGGGTGGCGCCTGTGGCTCAGTGGGTAGGGTGCCAGCCCCATATACTGAGGGTGGCGGGTTCAAACCCAGCACCAGCTAAACTGCAACAAAAAAAATAACTGGGCGTTGTGGCAGACACCTGTAATCCCAGCTACTCAGGAGGCTTAGGCAAGAGAATCACCTGAGCCCAGGAGCTGGAGGTTGCTGTGAGCTGTGACGCCACAATACTGTACTGACAGCAACAAAGTGAGACCCTGTCTCTAAAAAAAAAAGAAAGGTTTGGCACCTGTGGCTTAAGTGCCTAAGGTGCCAGCCATATACACCTAGGGTAGGGTGGCGCCTATGGCTCAGTGAGTAGGGCGCCGGCCCCACATATTGAGGGTGGTGAGTTCAAACTCAGCCCTGGCCAAACTTCAACAATAAAAAAATGAAATAAACAATTTCATATACACCTAAGGTGGCGGGTTCGAATCCAGCCCGGGCCCACCAAACAACAATGACGGCTGCAACCAAAAAATAGCCGGGCGTTGTGGTGGGCACGTGTGGTCCCAGCTACTTGGGAGGCTGAGGCAGGAGACTCACTTGAGCCCAGGAGCTGGAGGTTGCTGATGCCACGGCACTCTACCCAGGAGGACAGCTTGAGGCTCTGCCTCAAAAAAAAAGAAAAAGAAAAAGAAAATTCCAAAGAAGAACTCAGAGGTCCATGGAATGGTTTAGGGTTATAAGGAGAATTTTGTGTCTATCTACTTAAGTCCATTTTTTTCCTGGAAAAATGCCCCATAGTTTCTCCAAGAGATCTATGACTCCCTTAAAAGTTCAGAACTACCACTATATTGACTCCCTAAGAAAAAATAAGAAAGTGAAACACAAATCCCAATACTTCTTAACATAAATGTGATTTAAAATGTACAAGTTCAAAATATTGTATTTTTATCCATACTATACTCTGTAACAGTTTAAAAAGCATTTTATAAAAGAACCATTTTAACTCTAATCTTTCCTAGTATGTTTATATACTTTAAATACTAAGAAATGATTATATTTAAAATGTGTCTTACATTCTTCTGGCTGAACAGATGAGTAACTTCCAAGATTTAATAACTGACTGGTAAATGTTGACTGTAGAACTGTCTCACCAACCCATTGATCCTCACGAATAACAACATCTAGAGAGGGGGGAAAAAAGTTCTGATTATGCCATAAGTTCCTTCACACTACAGTTAACTTACCAATCATAGAAAAAGACTATCCATACCTCCCAACTGCCAGGCAACTAAAGTTCAAATAAGTTAAATAACCTGCTGAAAGGAGCAAAATGATAAAACAGCAGATCCAAAATCTGAACTGGGTATGCTGTATACAGGTAAAATAACAAAATTGCTGCCATATATTCAAATGATACCAATATAGAAGTTAATTGCTCTACAAAGAGCCAACATCAGAGTAGAAGAATTGCCCAGCCAACCAAGAAGATTACAAGAAATAATAAATCAGTGTTGTTTTTTTAAAAAAAATTGCTCTACAAAGAAAGGTTTAATAGTTTTTGCTTACATAAAACAAATGTTATAATTTGTTATTTCCGATAAATTAAAAATAAATGTTTCAGAATTGGGAAATATAGTGGCTCCAAAGTAGTAGAGCCTCATAGAGTAATAATATTCAGTATGCACTGGTCTCTTCTTAAGGCATTCTTAAATGACTTAATTATTTTTCCCTAATAGCACAGTAATCATCATCTATATAAGTTAAAAATAAACAACTTCCCAATGGGAAGGAAAGAGAGCTGTATAATTTAAGATGGACAGAGATGAATCACTTAGAGGAACTGAACAATGAACAGGTGGAAACAATTTTAGGTCGAGCAAAAACTGTTAAGTTGTAAAGAGAGAAAGAGAGCTATCTCCTGGGCAAGATGTAATCAGTGTACAGAGTGTCAGAGACATAAAGACATATTAACAGTAGCAAAGTAATTAGGAGACAATGGGAAAGAAAGACAAGGATGCATAAATTCCAAGTGATTGCTTCCAGATTTACATTCTAGACCCTCTCCTCTGCTTCAAGCCCTTTTATCTATGGCTAATGAGAATTCCTGCCTAGGTATTCCATTAGCTGCCCAAACTCAGCACTGTCCAAACCTGCTTTTCCTCTCTTAATACCCATCTCATTGCTGGCACTCACCTGCTAATCAGGTAAACTAAAATCTGAAGGCATCCTGCCTCCCTCCCTCCCTTTGTCCCCAGCCCCCTCCCACTCCTCCACTGCTGTAATTTTACATCCCACTTTCCTCTCTTTCAATGGGTGATCTTCCCACCTCTAATCCTTGTTCTGCAATGCCAGTGAGTGATTTATCAAGAACATTAGTAAGACTGGATAACTTGCTTAAAAAACATTCCCCACTGCCTAGCCAGGAAAGGCTAGCACAGCATTCAAGACTTTTCATGACCTGACTTCAGCATGCATGCTCTTCTGAAGGCACAGGTGAGAAATCTCAAGGACATCCGAAAACTAGGACAGGGAAGCCTGTCGGATTTGTGATAGGATATTTATACTGCTGAGGGGTGTGGTAGCCGCTCTTGCCTCCTGGTTCCCTTTTGCCACTCACAGACTTGCCCCAGCTCTTAGTTCCTCTTCTTCTTCTGTTTGTTCTGTGAACACCCTGGTTTCCCAATGTTAAGTCCTAGATCCTCTTCTCTTTTAACGCTAGTTAACTCTTTTAACTCTAGTCTGTAGTCAGGAATACCAGGGTACATTAGCTAAGGTTCTCATTCTCCCAACAAACCATTTGGTAAAATGGTAAAGTGTTTTATTTTTCTAAGCTCCTATGGCTAACCTTGTCTATCACATTCTTCAGGTAGTTTATGAAGCTTACTCAACTTTCTCCTGGCTCTAACACACTGTGAACTGATTTTAAAACAAAGAATATGTAACACAATTAGGTTAGGTTTATGAGTGGCATCTCTTCATTCTATTGCCAAAAGCATAAGGTCAAAACATATACTTACGTTACTAAAGGGAACATCATCAGAAATAGACCCGTTCCTTAGAATTTTTCAATATGGAATTATGTATCAGTAGGTAGGATGAGCTATCCAGCTAACCAACATGATTTCACTATTTAATTAGGACAATGGAAAAAGTACATATTTCTTTCTTTCTTTTTTTTCCTCCAAAAGTTTCCATCTGTTCCACACAAAAGGAACTTATTCAGAATCAATGAACTAGTTGGTTTTTTACTTAAAAAATACAAAATGCAAAAAGACTGAATTTTTTAAAAGGCCTTTAAAGGTCCTATAATAGGAAAATGGTCAAGTAAACTGCACTAACGTCAATCGACAGACTGTTACCTAGTTGTTAATAAGTGTACGATGTCAGGGAAAAATAGAGATAGCAGGGTTGACTTTCCATCTGACTAGGAAAAGGCCTCCTGGAAGACTCTATTGAAAACAATTGCCTTGGTAAAATGAATACGGTCCAGGGTCCAGCTTTCTCTTTATACTCTGGGAAACATAATTTTGTCAACTCTCCAAAACTAGATTTCAGCTATGCAACACAAGCTCATATTTAAACAGTTAATGAATTGTTTTCATTTACAATGAGACATTAATTACCAAGGAAACAATATTTGTAGTCCATTCTCACCTTATAGGCAGTTCTACAATTGGGAAACCAAATCACAAGGAAAAAGGTATTCAATGAGCACTGAATCAGAACAGAGGGAGTCAGACGAACTGACTCTAGAACAATAATGTAACTGACAACATACAGGGGGATGAGGCTATGCTAAGCCTGTTCATTATAGTCCTGTGTTTACCACTTTGTTAGAGACTGTACCTGACAATTCTACAGGAATATCAGGGTACAGTAGCTAAGGTTCTCATTATCCCTAAAAACCATTTGGTAAAACTACCAATACTGCCTTAATGTTTTCTTTTCCTAAGCTACTAAGGCTAACCTATGTATCTTCTCTATCTCATCTTTAGATATTTTCTTAAGCTTAATCAACGTCCTCCTGGCTCTAGTACAGGGTGACCATAAAGTTCATGTGCAATTTAAAATAGTAATATTTAAACTTTATGACCACCCTGTGTACTGTCTACTAATTTTAAATCTATGAAGAACATGTAACAAGGCCAGGTGCGGTGGCTTGTGCCTGTAATCCTAGTACTCTGAGAGGCCAAGGCGGGTGAACAGCTTGAGTTTATGGGTTCAAGAACAGCCTGAGCAAAAAACGAGACCCCATCTCTGCTAGGAACAGAAAAACTGAGACAAGAGGATCACTTGAGCCCGAGGAGCCCGAGGGTTAGAGGTTGCTGTGAGCTGTGACACCACGACATTCTACCCAGGGCGGCAGCCTAAGATTCTGTCTCAAAAAAAAAAAACAACACAATATTAGATTTCTTTTCTTTTTTTTTTTTGACAAAGAGTCTCACTTTGTCACCCTTGGTAGAGTGCCATGGCATCGTAGCTCCTAGCAACCTCAAACTCTTGGGCTCAAGCAATTCTCTTGCCTCAGCCTTCTGAGTAGCTGGGACTTACAGGTGCCTACCACAATGCCCAGCTATTTTTAGAAGCAGGGTCTCACTTTGGCTCAGGCTGGTCTTGAACTTGTGAACTCAGGCAAATCCACCCACCTTGGCCTCCCAGAGTGCTAGCATTGTTAGGTTTCTTATATTAGTAAGATAAAAACTATATGCTCTTTTTGATTACAATTATATAATAACAGTATAGATTCTGGAGTCTAGGTGAAATCATACCTTTGCCACTTCCTAAATGTGTGACATTTCTTCTTGAGTCCTCAGTTTCATCAACTGAAAAATGGGAATAAAATGAGCACCTTTCTCAAATAGTTGTAATGAGAGAGACATATATAATGTATATAGTCTAAAGTGAAGTATAGGGCAGCACCTGTGGCTCAATGAGTAGGGCACTAGCCCCATATACAGAGAGTGATGGGTTTGACCCCAGCCCCAGCCAAACTGCAACAACAAAATAGCCAGGCATTGTTGCGGGCGCCTGTAGTCCCAGCTACTCAGGAGGCTGAGGCAAGGGAATCACCTAAGCCCAGGAGTTGGAGGTTGCTGTGAGCTGCTCTGCTGAGGGCGACAAAGTAAGACTCTGTCTCTAAAAAAAAAAGTGAAGTATAACACAAAGTAAGCTCCCAATAAATATCATAGCTTATAAATGTGTGTGAATATATCTATATAAACACAATCAAAAAAAAAAAA